TATTCCCGCGTAGTGTTGCATGTTGTTTGGGGGCTGATATTCGTCTGGTATACTACAAATATGGCACCGATGGTAAACCAATAAAAAGAAACAGTGACGTGAAGTGAAGTGTTACGGGGCACCTGACGTCAACAAAAAAGTCATTGAACAGGGCGAGAAATTCTAAAAAGTAGTCCAGGAAAATCTGATATTTGTTAGAGCGCCGAGCTTTCCATCATCAAATAAGTATATTACGGGAAAGAGTTCAATATCTGCTAGTCACAGATATGACGGATTCTAAAGTGAGTCCTTTGAAACACGACAGTAGATTTAATGTTTGGCGACCGCAAGCGTGAAACCTATTTACAGTTTATGTAGCAGTTGTTATACGGCCAATTGGGCTGACAGCTACCAAGGAAAATATCGGGAGACATTTTGTCTACGAGACCAAAGGACGAGTAAACGAGTGATAGGCGTTCTCTTGGTACTCAAAGCCCACTTGAATAAAGAACACAGCAGCACAATGTTGCACAATTTATTCCAGGAAAAATTTCACTGTATCTCCTCAGGTACATTCTACAGTCAAAGAATATAATGAAAACTAACAAGTAACATTTACCGCGGATGGGCTATTGCTGTTTAAAAGTGTCCTCATCACGCGAAACTCTCGGTTGCTCCAGTTTGCAGAGGCGCTTGCCACAAAACGGTGGAAGCCTGAAATATGCAAGCAGAAAGAGTTATTTGTAACTCTAGCTCTTCCTTTGTAGAAGGATGGACGCAGATAACACTAACAGCTCATCCGAGGTGAATGTTACTTGTTGGTTTTCATTGCATTCTTTGACTGTAGTATGTACCTGAAGAGAAACTTTTCTGGAAAAAAATTGCGCAACACTGTGCTGTTGTGTTCTTTATTCAAGCTCAAAGCCTAATCCAGAGCCTCTTGGCTGACACCCCAAAAATTCACCTTATCCTTGATTGAAGACATCACGGCTCAGAATCAAGCTCAAAGTTACGTCCAGTAAACGAGAAAAATAACGTTTCCTTATCCCTCACTCAAAGCCCAAACCTTTTTTATTGTTACTCTAATGAAATTTGAATTCACAGTTGTCAGCTGCGGACCCTGCGATACACGGAATCGAATTGAAGTCAGTGCTGTAAATGCTTCCCTTCCTGTCTACCATCCCCAAAGTAAAAACGACTCATAACTGAGTGCAGTAGGCATGCCAAACAGTTGCTACTGGCTACCCAAAACTGATCGTTTTGTTCTGTTTCTGAATTTCCCTTTCAGCTTGTGGTTATTTTGGCGCCATATATGTAAAAATTGGTATTGTATATATCAATAATTTGACGCATTTCCACTTAATATATAATTACAAGGTTTACATTGGATTATTATCACAAACAACTCAATAAAACTTCGCAGCAGTAAAACCTAGCAAGTATTGTGACAATAATTTTTTAAATTTTTTGTTGCTCATCATAAAAGCCAGTTCACATTTAGTTCACTCTGTCTGTTCAACCAGAATGATCGAAATCCGAGTAGATCGAACCCACACTTAATCGATCGGAGTCCGCACTCAGCCTCTTCAAGCTTTCATCACTCGCTAATGAATCGAGCTCAGGGGCTACCGTCTCATCGAAATCCATATCCTCTTCGAGCAAGGTCCTCTTATCCTCATCATCCTCACCGAAATCCTCCATCACCGGAGTCGCAATACCTTTGTCCGGATTCAACTGCGCACGTAAACGTTTACGTAACTTTTTCAACAAATCAATAACTTGCCGTCGTTNAAGCCACTGACCGAATTCGGCCGCAGCCTTTTCCATATAACGTCTTGTGGTCGTATGCCCTCGCACACTTGATCCGCTGGTAGTCCGTGTAAGCAGACCCCGCGTACTTACAGCTATAATGCGTCGTTTGCGACACAGTTGTAATCGCTTCACAATATTGACAAACGCGTCATGAACGTCTGGAATGAGCCGATACCACCAAATTATGGAAAAGCTATTGATGACCATTTCCAATATAACTGTCAAATCAGATAATGTCAGATTGGACAGAAATATCAGACGGACATCACGCATCGTTCTTCGTGGTTGCATTGTGGTTTCCAAAACCCAGCCGATCACGGCCGTTGATATGCGCATCGGAAATGTGGNNNACTGCGTAGACCAAAACAATACGATGATTACGACAAACGTCCAGTGATTCCAATACTAGACTGGTCTTGATCAAACCAATTATGTCCGCAGTTCGAGGGTATTGTTCTAAATAAGCTATTGCATGGCTGGTCGAGCGTAGTCGAACGTAAAGCCAATAACATAATGGCAAACCGGCCAGGGTCTGAACGAGACCGTCGATAAACATGAGTTGATGACGTCCATAAAACTTCCAGAAGTCTCTATTCCAAAACGGATCGGTAGAACAAGTGAACGAGTTTTGATAAATCCATAGTCCGGTTATAGCGAATTTGGGAATAGCAAGCAATAAACTGACAATAATTGCTATGGTAATTATAAGTATGGATCGAGTGCGTCGCCTCACGGCACTGAGGTTATAAGAATCGGACAACTCTTCTAATAACCAGAAGAAAATCATATTCACTCTCAAAGATAAAACAAAACCATGGGCTAGGGCCACAATTTTACAGGACATATAACCGGTCATGTAAATAGGTGTCGAATGTGTACCCCACCAAGCACGTGATTTCGGTAGCAGGCTTCGAATGCAGCCACTGATCAGGAAGAAGAATAGATCAACCATTACAATTGCACAACCCCATACTTCGAGGCTGCGTGGTCGACGAATTTCTGTGATCAGTAGAATGAGTAGTAGACAGTTTCCAAGAGCGCCCAATAACATGGCTGGAGCAAGAACCGCGGCCACAGTACCCAATGCGTGGATAGCCAAATTTCTCACAGTTATCCCTACAATACAAGGATCCAAAATCTCTAAAAAGCTAAATTCCGAACGACAAAAATTGTTTCGTTGCAGTTCAAAAATTGGCACGTCTTCTGTTTGTTCCCAAGGGATCACGGTACAATTCATTTTGCCATTTGCGTCAGTAAACGTTTACGCTCAGACCGAACAAATGGTATGGATTTAATAAATTCAGCTTCTGATTGGATGAATAAAGTTGAATTGATTAGATGCACGTGAGATGGATGATAGGTGGCCTTGAAACACATTCAGTTGGACCGAAAGGGCTTTCAGGCCTTGCAAATTTCGTTTGATTATTTACCCTTGGGTAAAGGCGGAAGTTTTGGATACAAATATAGCATAGTAAAACGTAGAACAAAAGATATGTGCGGAAAGACAGTTATTATTTCTTTCGCTGCAAAGGGAAGAAATCACGGTTCGCAAGACCTAAACCCTATTTGATTCCTGGCAAATTCACTCCACTGTAGCTGATTATTTATTAACTAAGGGTATCAAGTATGCAGTTGTTCATATTTACCAGTCACAGTTGCTTGTAAATAGTAGTGGGGGACAAAATGGTTATGGTCTTGTGGCCTTGGCTTTGTTCATTTTGTCTTGTTTTTACTTGGGTTAATGGTTATGACTGGGCTATATTTTTATGCGGTGGCCTTTTGTCCACAAACGAACTCAAGACCTACCAGTTCCAAAATGTACGTCGGTCGAGAAGATCTCGACAAAGCTGACACTCTAAAGTGAACAAGATTTGTTTGAAAACTGACTTCGCATGTCGGTGTGTTTCCTCCCATCGGCATGTTTGAAATAGGAGCAAAATGGACCGGGTTAAAAACCATAAAGGAGGGCGTAAAATACTCTCAAGGTAATATGTTATTCCCTCGTATTTTCCGTGTTTCCCCGCCTCAGTTAGAGTGTTGTAATTCGAAACACTTCCCATCAAGTCAAGGTACACATTAGATTCACAAATGAAGTCACCTGTACTTGACGCTGAATATTGCGTTCAGGTGGTTCCAGCTACCAATCCAGAAATCGTATGGTGTAAATAGGTGCCTAGTTTATTGAACATTGAACTCCTTAATTCTGTTGTGGTAAAAATTACATTAGAGATGATTGTTTGTGTACCCTCACGAAGGTTTCCATCCTCATTTTGTGCATAGTAGTGAGCAAGTGTGTTGCGTGCTGAGCGTTAAACATCACAACATTTCGCATAAAATATCAGAACAGATAAAGGTAAAGTAGGTGATGAAAACGAGCGATTTCAAAATCGTTTTGCATACTGTATGAGCGAGGGCTGAATGAACCCGGGATACTGTGTGAATCAAAACATTCCGTCATTTACAACCCAACAGTTATTTTGACTGCTTTTAAGCCTGATTGCTCTTTTAACCGTTGCTAACTGAAGCTGATCTATATGTCCTCTATGGTCAACGCGGGCCGACGACAACATAACTGTGGTCGTTGTCAATCATGGCATTACCGGCTGCTCACACTAACTGTATGATACCGTTATATTTCTGATGGCGCCTACCCTGGAGCGGCACGTTACCGTTTCAGGACATTTGCGATCAATCAAGTTTGAATGCTGACGTCAATGACACGTGCATGGCTTCTGAATACACGTCATTGGTGGATGGTGCCAGCCAATCCAAGACAGTGCAGACAGAAGCAAGATTATACAAGCAGTATTGCAATCCCATTGGTGGAAGCCCAGCTAGCCACTAATCTCCCTTTGTAAATGTTATTTAATCACCTTCATTTCTTTCAATAAACGAACTACTGCTTACTACCATTCCCGTGGTGTTTTCCTCGCGTCTTGTTCTCGTGGGACATTGCGAACCCGTGCCATTGCGCTCCGGTGCTTCTGTGATCCAGTCCGTGATAGCTGATTATTGATTTCTGTCCTGTGATTCCTATTGCGTGGTTTGCATTCCGAATTCCGTGCGTATTACTACGATTACTACAAACATTA